ATTACTTTTTCTTTTTGTTTTTTATTATTATTATAACTTACTAACTTCCTTCTTCTTTTAGATTCTATTTCCTTTCTCGTTATTTCGGTGCGCCCATGGTTAGATCTTCAAAATAAACTTTCGGGTTTGCTTTCTGGCATTTTTTCTTATATAAGTATTACTTTTTTTTTTTTTTTTTTTATTATTATAACTTACTAACTTTCTTCTTTTTCTTTTAGATTCTATTTTTCTTTCTTGTTATTTCGGCGTGTCCATGGTTAGATCTTCGAAATAGACTTTTGGGTTCACTTTCTGGTGTTTTTTCTTATATAAGTATTACTTTTTCTTTTTGTTTATTATTATTATTATAACTTACTAACTTCTTTCTTCTTTTAGATTCTATTTTCCTTTTTTATTATTTCGGCACGCCCATGGTTAGATCTTCAAAATGGACTTTCGGGTTCACTTTCTGGCATTCTTTCTTATATAAGTATTACTTTTTTTTTTTTTTTATTATTATTATAACTTACTAACTTCCTTCTTTTTCTTTTAGATTTTAGCTTTCTTTTCCGTTATTTTGGCGCGCTCATGGTTAGATCTTCAAAATGGACTTTTGGGTTCACTTTTCGGCGTTCTTTCTTATATAAGTATTACTTTTTTTTTTTTTTTATTATTATTATAACTTACTAACTTCTTTCTTTTTCTTTTAGATTCTAGCTTTTTTTTTCGTTATTTTGGCGCGCCCTTAGTTAGATCTTCGAAATAGACTTTTGGATTTGCTTTTCGGCGTTCTTTCTTATCTAAGTATTACTTTTCTTTTTGTTTTTTTTTATTATTATAACTTACTAACTTCCTTCTTTTTCTTTTAGATTCTATTTTTCTTTTCTATTATTTTGGCATGCCCATAGTTAGATCTTTGAAATAGACTTTCAGATTCACTTTTTAGTATTTTTTCTTATATAAGTATTACTTTTTCTTTTTATTTTTTTTATTATTATAACTTACTAACTTTCTTCTTTTTTAGATTCTATTTTTCTTTCTCGTTATTTTGGCGTGCCCATGGTTAGATCTTCAAAATGGACTTTCAGTTTCACTTTCCGGCATTCTTTCTTATATAAGTATTATTTTTTCTTTTTGTTTTTTATTATTATTATAACTTACTAACTTCTTTCTTTTTTTTTTTTATATTCTAGTTTCCTTTTCTGTTATTTTTGGCACCTATGGTTAGATCTTCGAAATAGACTTTCGGGTTCGCTTTCCTTCATTCTTTCTTATATAAGTATCACTTTTTTTTTGTTTTTTTATTATTATTATAACTTACTAACTTCCTTCTTTTTCTTTTAGATTCTATTTTCCTTTCCTATTATTTCGGTGTACCTATAGTTAGATCATTGAAATAGACTTTCGGTTTAGAATCAATGTTGAAGTTGCCGCCAGAATCGCTGTTAAAGCTGTCGTTGGTTGCCATTGAAGTGCTGCCAAAATTATTGTCAAAATTGCTGTTGGGTGAGTACCCTAGCCACGGAAAAGAATGAACTTGTCATGGTTTTTGAAAAAATAGACGTTTGTTTTGATTTTTCCTGATCATTTTACATTACACCGAAATTCGTTATTAGCTAATTTGCGTGACAAGTTCTTTCTTTGTCACGGCTAGGGTATTTGGTTGAATTGGAGTTTTTATTTTTGATATTTAGCAATTTATATAGAATATAAATTTTATTTTTTTAAATAAAAAATTTTATATTATTTAATTTAATTTTTTAATAAATATTGTTTATACCAATAAATTTTTAATAACCTGATATGTATCCGGTTTTAGAGAATATTGGATATATATCAGGTTTTCTATATTACAAATCGAACTACCGATATGGTACTGATATGTCACTGATATAGTGCCGATATTTATCTGATAGGTGCCCTATATTAGCCAAATTTCTGTTTAATATAGGAGTCATATCGGATACATATCGGAGATAACTATCGGTAAACTATCATAGTACTACCAGGCACCTATCAGTACATATCGATGTACCGATATCTACCTGGTAGTTTTTCATTCGACCTGTGAAATTTATATTGATTTCATCGAAGAAGACACCTAGAGGAAAAGAACGAAGTGGTAGCCAAGTGCAAACCAAAAAAAATTGAGAAAGCAAAAGCCACAGACTTTAACAACAAATTTATATTAATTTTAACGAAGAAGACACCTGGAAAGAAAAAATCAAGTAGTAGCCAAGTGCAAACCAAAAAAGAACAAAAAATAAAAGCTACAAACTCTAACAACGAATTTATATCAATTCTATCAAAAAGAAAAAGACTCAACTACATATCTGAAGAAAAAGAACAAAGTGGTAGCCAAATACAAACCAAAAAAGAATGAGA